TAGGAGTTGTCTTGCTTTTTACCAAACCGCATAAGATAAATGCTACCCACAATGAGTCCATCACCGCAAATACGCTCAGAGTCTCACTCAAGACCCACAAGGCGATTCCTCCTAAAATAAAAGGAGAAGAAAATCCAGATCGCCTCCTTCATCCTGAGAGAAGTTATTAAAGATCAGATCCACGGCGAAAGAAAAAACTTGTCAAAAGCACAGAGAGGTCGGGGGACGTGTGAGGACAGAATTCACAGTGCACAATCGGTGGGTGGAGACAGCAGAGGGCCCCCCTGAAGCCTCAACATCCCTGTCTGTCACCGGGGCCGCGAGGCCCTGCCTGCCCATCCATGGAGGAGAAGGTGGGAGGAACCACATACTCAGAGTCAGGTGCTCAGAGACAACCTCTCCACCACCCCCCGGCCACTCCAGCTGGGCCTAAAGGAGAAAGGAGTGTGGCGGGCTGCACGCTCAGGTACCCGAGGGACACACTCCCAGTCGCTCGAAGCCACAGCTGGCACTAGCGGACTGCCACGCCGTCGGAATACCACCCTCTCGCCGCCCCGTCTCCAACCCCTAGCACAGAAAACGGACGGGGCACCCGGGTGGCTCAGTCGGTTGGGCGTCCGACTTCGGCTCAAGTCATGATCTCACGGTTCATGGGTTCGAGCCCCATGTCAGGCTCTGTGCTGACAGCTCGGAGCCTGGGGCCCGCTTTAGATTCTGCATCTCCCTCTCTCTCTCTGCCCCTCCCCTGCTCGCACTGGCTCGCTCACTCTCTCTCAAAAATACACACCAAAAAAATTTTAAAAAGAAAAGAAAGTGGAGCCAAACTCTGGAGTCTTGGGTGCACGTGGAAAGTGAAACTTGGGAGCTGGCTCTCCTTCCGTGCGTTAGTACTTCAGTGGGCTTTTATTTATTTATTTATTTATTTTTTTTATAATTTTTTTTTTCAACGTTTATTTATTTTTGGGACAGAGAGAGACAGAGCATGAACGGGGGAGGGGCAGAGAGAGAGGGAGACACAGAATCGGAAACAGGCTCCAGGCTCCGAGCCGTCAGCCCAGAGCCCGACGCGGGGCTCGAACTCACGGAGCGCGAGATCGTGACCTGGCCGAGGTCGGACGCTTAACCGACTGCGCCACCCAGGCGCCCCAATACTTCAGTGGGCTTTTAATGAGCACGTACTGTATGCCCCCATACCGTGTAGACGGTTCGTCACAAGCCCAGTGACAGAGGCAGAGATGCCTGGAATGGCATGGCCTGCACACCTCGAGTCACAGCGGCTTCAGAAATGCTCTAAGCTGGCCTTCTTCTAAGAGGACACCCAAAGAAGAGAAGGAGACACCGCCTGCAGGGGACAGAGCAATGCAAGCCTCTGAGGGCCACGCAGGCCACACAGAAAAGGCATCCACAGACAGAAAAAGAAGCTCCATATGTCACCCTCAAGACACTGGGCTTTCAGGGCGCCGAGTCCTCAGGGAGCCCCGGGAGGGAGAGTGCGGCCTGAGGGTCACAAAGGCACGTGGCCGCTGGCCCCAGCGGTGAGGCGCTCGGTGCAGCCGCTCCGTCCGGTCCAGTGGCTCCGTGTCCCGGCAAGTTTGCCCCCCGGGCCACCTGGCAATGCCCAGAGACGCGTTTGGTTGTCACAGTCGGCAGGGGTGCTGCTAGCATCCAGCGGGCAGAGGCCTGGAACGTCGCCGAATCCCCGCCAATGCGCACAGGTTGGCCCACACAGCAAACTACTGACCTAACTTGTCCCTGAGGCCAAGGTTGAGAAATCGAAGCTGAACACACACTTCCGTCCTGAGGACGCAAACGCACCTTCTCTCAAGCCCTCCCCACGCCACTGACGAAGACCACATGGCCCGGTTGTCACCCCACCCCGAAGTGCACAGAAGTGATTGTTGTCTCTGTCGGTGACGAGACGCAGAGGCCTGTCAGTGCTCCCGGCCCTGGACACCAGCCTTCCGGGAAAACGCACACAGGAGGGGCCTCGCGGCGCCCCCCATGCCAGCCGCCCCCTCCCAGAGCAGACACACAGTATTTTGAGACTCTGGAAATCAGGGGAGCCGGCAGCTGCAAAAAGACAATAATTATGGAAAACGAAACCCAAAGTGTCCGAGTGCGTGACTACGGGTGCGTGACAAGGGTCCGAACGGGGAAGGAGAGCCCGTGGATCCTCGTTCCGGCGCCACGGGGAAGCCTCTGGCACACCCTCCTTCGCCCCGGGATTGTGAGCGGACCCTAGCGAGCCTGCAGGAGAGGGGCCCGTGGTGGGTCCCCAGCACCCGGCACCCGCTCCCAGCTGCTCCTCAGCTCCAAAGAGCAGCCGGGAGGGGGCGTTGGCTCCGGCTTACTCTGAACCAGGACTAGGGAGCCCCGGCTCACTAGCGACCGTAGGAGTCCTTCGCTGCGACAGTGCTCGGTCACCTGAAGCCAGAGAAGGCCAGCGTTAACTCCCGCACACGCACATGCACACACACCTGCACACAGACACGCACACGCCTGCACAACTGCGCACACACACAGGCAGTCCCTTCCCTTTACCACCACTCTTTCCAGATGGCTCACTAGAATTGTAGGGTCAACCTCCCCTGCTCTTTGGGGGAAAAGACGCACAGAGAAGCCCTGGAGCGCTGCTCTGCGGTGGAATCACCACCGTCCCAGGCCCTAAAACGCTCCACCTCTGTGGGCGTTGATTTCACCACTGCAAATGCCACCACACAGCCTCAGCGCGGCACACAGGCCAGCCGGGCACCCAGAGGACGGCCAGGCGCTCGGGGCGTCTCCCGAGCAGGGCAGACCAACAAGCTGGAGATTCTTTCTCGTTATCAGACTTGACACAGGAACACCAAGTCAACACCAAACACCCATTTCAGCTCCTCGGGGTCCGCTCGGACAGCTCAGCCTCCGCAGGCCTCACCGCACCATCTCTACCGTCGCTGGCAGGGGGACAGCACGGTCAGGAGGCCCCGCAGTCCCGGACCACGCCCCAAGGGAAAGCCAGCAGCAAAGGGTGATTCCCTGGGGTCCAGGAGGCCTGCTTCAGGCAGGTAACACAACCCGCCTCCGGCCCGGCCAAGTGTGTCCGTGAGACTGGTCCCATTCAATGGACTCTTTATTTGAAAGGTTTTGCAAAACCAATGCCAAGTTGAATAGGCCGTGGGCAACGCGGCCTTCTCTTGCCTCGACTGATGTAAAAGGAACACCGTCCGTAAGGGGCTGGTGAACAGGAAATAAAGACCCCCTTCCTACAGATGGCCTCTGGCCCCTGGTCCCCTCACCTGTGCAATTCAGAGCAAGCTTTCCAACGTCCTAGCCGACACCCGGGGCCCAGAGACCCACGCGCTTTTGCCCTCCGCCCCGCAGAACAAACACCGAGCAGGACAATGACCACGAGCTGAACACCAGCGGCCTCTCAGCAGGTCTGCCTGGCCTCCCGGGGCATCTTCTGAATGACGGGGCCAGAGTGCGCTGGATCGAGGCAAGGCAGGGCCGGATGGAACGCCAGACCCTGGGCCCACAGGGTGGGGACGTTAGGGTGCTGGGCCAGGGAGAGTCGACTGCAAAAATGTCAACTCCAGTTGGCGAGCTTTTTACTGCCGCCACGTGCCAGCAACTCCAAATGGCATCGGCGATCAGATGTCCCCCCTGTCAGTAGGACCCCCAACTTCCGCCTATAAGCACACAGCATAAACTGCTTACCACGTACAGGAAACGTTAACAATAATACACAACTCTAACTCCCTGAGCGTCTGCCAAGCACCATGCTAAGTGCTTTGCGTACATCGCTAACGCCCGTGACTGGGAAGTCATGCCCCCATTATCCAGATCAGGAAACTGAGGCCACACGGGTGAAGTGATCTGCCCGAGGTAACAGAGGACCGCTGCTGCTGAATGCCAACCGCAGCCCTCCCCTGGACTGAGGGACACGGAGGTCCCCATCAGGCCTGAGTGACCCCGGTCCCTGGAGTTCCACTGCTCATCTCCACACTGAAGGTACAAAGCGGGCCCCACGCCAGAAGCAGAACTAGAGAAAAGGAGCATTTGCAACCCCTCGGGGGCACACACAACAGGTCAGGAGTGCTCAAGGCCTCTTTCGATCCCGGGATATTGGGAAATCAAATGACAAGTCCCCTGAGGCCGTTGAACCTCCTTCCGCTGCGGACCACAGAAGACAGGTCCCTTTTCTGCATAAAGCCACCACTTCCTACAAGAAATTAAGAAAAAGCCAACTATGATCTGAGATACACCGAAGAGTCTTCTGGCTTTGGAAGAAAATGATTTTTTATGGCGTTTACCTATTAAGATAACCAGTTCCTCTCCACCAGCCGAACCAGCCAGACAGACAGACACAGAGCCCTGGCCCACAGGCCTCCAAGTGCCCCAGGCACCCCATCACCCCTGGAGACCCTTCACACCTCCTTGTCCCTTCACTGGACTGTCCCAAAGACTCGCCCCACACCTCGGGCACCGTGGGACTTCCCGTAACCCCTCGGCCACCTGCACGGCTGTGCACGGCTGTCTGCACCAAAGGACATGACTGGGGAGCTGGAACAAAGGAGGGACCTGCCCTACGACACTGCAAGGCTCCATCAGGAGACACTACAGCACGCGCACGTGTCCGGCAGCATAGACCAACCGCAGTCTCCACAGCAACTTTGATTAAGAAGTCCTCAAGGGGCGCCTGGGTGGCTCAGTCGGTGGGCGTCCGACTTCCGCTCAGGTCATGATCTCACGGTTCGTGAGTTCGAACCTCGCGTCAGGCTCTGTGCTGACAGCTCAGAGCCTGGGGCCTGGTTCAGAGTCCGTGTCTCCCTCTCTCTCTGCCCCTCCCCTGTTTTCACTCTCTCTCTCAAAAATAAAATAAACATTAAAAAAAAAAAAAAAAAAAGTCCTCAGACGCCGCGACAGACGAGTTTTCCCCCAAACGGATCCCCGAGCCTCTGCCTTTGCATTCTCCCCTGACCAGCCCCTGCTCTTCCTGAACCTTCTCTCGTTCTCACCTGCCGTCATGGTGTCCACGTCCTTGGCTGCCAGCTCTTCCACGTCTGACCTCTTTCTCAGCTCAAACCTCCGGGACAAGCCCTCGCGGGGTTTCCATAATTCCTGGATCAGGAGGGGCTTCTCGTTGTCCCCAAACACCCGAAAGCCTTCGGCCCGCCACTGCTGCCCAGAGTCGCCGGCCTGGCCCACCACGTCGCACAGCACGTACTGGCTGGAGCACTCGGGGCTCAGGGCATAGCGCTCCAGGGCCTCCTTCACCAGCTCCTGGGCGCTGGACGTGCCCGTGGCCAGGACGCTCTTGTAGTGGGTGCCCGAGCAGACGCTGTCCCCGAACACCTTCAGGACCCCGGGAGCCGAGAGCTGGGTGGAGAGCTCCGCGGGGTCGTCGCTGGCGCCCAGGCTGGAAAAGGTGGTGTCCAGGTCGCGGTGCTTGTAGCTCAGCGTCCGGGACAGCACGCTGGACAGCAGCTGGCTCTGCCGCTTTAGCTTGCTCTTGGTGGGTGGAGACATGATGAAGTGGGTCCCATAAAACATGGTGGGCCAGCCTTCATGGACAAGGACCGATGGCTCTGGCCGATGGCAGGGTAAAGGCCGTGTCCTGAGAGAAAAACGCAAGGCGGGTTAGCATCAACCATCATGAGCGACAAGAGGGAGCGAGGCTCGGCCACCCAGGGCCCGGGGCCGCAACGGAGCCAGAGGGCATGCTACCTTCGGCCAAGTCTCCCCCCCACCCCCCCCACCAAGCACCTGAGGCAGAATATGACTGCAACCAGCAGGGACCTTAAGGAACTAAGCAGGTCTGAATGGCCCGAAGCACCCTTCAAGGCAAGCCGTTTCCAGGAAGCACGATGAGGTCACCAAAAGGCAAGACACACTCGGCTGCAGGGTTCTGGCTTCTGGGACGTGCTGGGCACATGCGTCCTGCGCGGTAGGCAGCCAAGAAAGAGGGGCAGCGGGCGTGGGGATGAGAGCGCTCGCTTGCCTGGCAGAATCGCCACAGGGCTGGCCAGGTCTCGTGGGAGGCAGCCCACGGAGGGCAGCAAGCCTGATCTCCCAAGCCCAGCCTCTCCGCCACCGCTGCGACTAATACGGGAAATTCATCGCAAGCACGTGGATGTAGGAAAACAGGCAAAGTCGCAGGCACGTTAACAGAGTGGTAAGTGATCAGACATTCAAAACACAGACCCCCCCCCCCCCCCGCAAAATGCGGTCCCTCACTGGCCCTTGCCTGGCCCTACAACGTCCACACGACCACAGTGGACACAAAAGGGCTCTTCCAGAACCAGGGGAGGCATGACTGGAATGTATGCATTCCACCCACCGCATCCAGCCTGGTATTCAGGCCCTGTCCAGGCCACAGATGCAATCTTGCTGGGGAAATTAGAAAACAGCTCTGGGACACTTCGGTGTGTCTAAAAATCCTCAATCCAAAGCCCCTGGAGCTCGAAGGGTCTGAGAATTCTAAAGAGATATTTGCCAGGCTCTCCTGCAAGCACTGTAGGGAGCAGGAAGGCACGAGAAAAAGAAGGGTCTCTGCTTCATAAACACTAAGGCTTTGCAGAAAGTGGGGGACACTGGAAAATCAGACCCATCCCCTAACTACTGCACCCCACTTCTATGCTGCTGCCCTCGCCAAAGACAAAACCAGACAGGCTAACCAAGAAAAGTCTACTCTCCCAAGGCTCTGGAAACAGGGGCCTGGGTCCCACCTCCACTGTGATAAACATCAGCACTCATTCAGCTGAAGTCAGCGTCCCCAGTCCTGACCCACCTCTGGCTCCAGCAGCTCTGGAAAAGGCTTCCAGGAAGTGAGGCTGTCCGCCTAGGGCAGGAGAGAGTCACCAGGGAGCCTCGCGAACAAAAGGACCCACACTGGCCGCGCCCCCCGCCCAGGGAACTCAAAGCATAAGGTGCTTGCGACACTGACACTGTGCTTGGGCCTCTTGCTAGTCATGCACCCCGGCTTCGGTCACATGCGCTAAGTGTCTCCCTCCCTCCAGGGCTGCTGTGAAGGAAGCTCGGGAGCAGACCCTCCGCTCAAGTCCTCTAGAACCATCCGGGATCTGTCTGCCATCATACAACCCTCAGAAAAGCCTGAACTCTTCAAGCTGCTGCTGACAGCTTCACGCGCCAAAGACTAGGTTCCGAACACTAACGTCTGCCCTTTGGGGGAGCGGGTGGGGGACCCTCCTCGTGTTGTACAGCCTGTCATTTATGCTTTACCACCGCAAAGCTATTTTTTATGCAGTAGCTTTCTGAAGACTGGAGCTCGCGAGTTACGTACACCGCTTGCCTCTCAGGACACCCGGGCTCAGAAGCCTCTGAGCCAGCACCTTCTCAAAGGACCTGAACCCTCCACGGACACTTGGCTTACCCGGCCTCCTCCTTCAAGCACAGGCCCCAGGGCCTCGGCCCAAACCCAAAGTGGCCCAGGGGCTTGGAAGCCTCTGCCTTTCAAGATGTCTGAACGTAAACTTGAATATCACGCCGTAAACTACGGGAAAGACGCCCAGATACTGCGGAGAAGGCAACGGCTATTGTGTGTCTGGCAGTGGTCCGGGTTCTGCAAGGTCTAAAGCGTATACAACTCTACTGTAATAAAAATAAAGAAAGAAAGAAAGAACTAGAGTGGCCCCTGGGTGGCTCGGTCGGTTAAGCGTCTGACTCTTGATTTTGGCTCCGGTCATGATCTCTCAGGTTGTGGGATCGAGCCCCACATCGGGCTCTGCATTCACAGCTCAGAGCCTGCTGGGGATTCTCTCTCCCTCTCTCTCTGCCCCTGCCCTGCTCACTCATGCTCTCTGCCTCAAAATAAGTAAACTTAAAAAAAAAAAAAAACAAAAAAACAACTTACAACACTGCTAGGTCCCCTCCCAGGGCCTCAGAAGTGAGCTCCCCTCCCTTCTCAGCAGGATTCCAAAGCAAAGTCAGCAAAATCACGTCAAGAGAGAAAATGCAAGAGAGGGTGTGATCTGTTCTCTTCAGGGGCCCCTCCTTAAGCCCCAAGGAGCCCCAGCGAACACAGACCCTGGACTATGTGGTCTGTGTTGTCAAGGAAGCCTTCTTCTCGCAGGCATTCCCTTGGTGGCCATCTTCAGAGAGCAGCCACTGGTGGCGGCCACGTGTTCCCTCGCCAGCGTCCTTCACGGACAGAATGCGGAGGACAGCCTATCTGTCACACTGTGCCGGACCCGTTTCTAGCAAGGGCAGGAGGGCAGGCGCCCCCCGGGGTAACCCGACCTGGCTTTGGGAGGCGTGACTCGCCTTGCCCTTTTCTGCCCCGTGCTCTACTCTTTCTCTTCCATACAAATGTTTGGGGAAACGCGGGCCCAAGGGTGCAGGACACCTGCTGTTGCTTCTCTTAGAGAATGTTTTCTCTTGTTCTCAAGGAAGAATCCGATTTCTGATGAAAACAAGCGTAAGTCACACCAGCGAGTGAAGCCAGCGAGGTCAGTGCCGGGCTGACGAAATGGGTGGAGGCGCACGGCCGGCCCAACAACACAATGTGGAACCCATTAGAATTTCCACCAGGACAGGGAAGGAAGAGGGCAGACTCAGGCTCTGCTTTATCCCCACCATCCATAAACCCTACCTTGACAGCTCCAGCCGAAGCAAGGCTCTCAAATACAAAAAGAATTTAATCAGATGTGATTCTGACATGCTACCCGCCTCAGAGGGGGCTTTTTCCACCAGTGGGATTAAGGACTGGCTCCTCTCTGGAATGCACGAGAGGTGGCCCCGTGCTAACTGGAGACACCTGTAATCACTGCCGACTGACAAAATTCTTTCGGGCAATTCAGATTAAGCAAACACTTGAGGGCTGGGGGGGGGGAGCCGGTGCGCTGAGCCGGCGCGTCTGCAGCTCCCCCCGCGGTCCCACCAACCGGCTCCCTGACGGGAAATAAACCAGTTTCTTCCGCGGGGCCCCAAGGAGCTCCAGCTCAGCATCTGTTTTCTTAGATGCAGTATTTGTCGAGGGGCCGGAGGTGGTACAGAAATAGCTGGGAGACAATGCTTTCGGCTGGCACACGAGTGGGGAACGCGCTGCTGCGTGCACAGGAAAACCGGGACGGGCTGTGGGCGGGGGCGGGGGGGGGAATGTCACCTGACCCTGGAGGGAGGGCGCGGACCCCCGCACCCTGCTCCCCCGCGACGCCCGCAATGCCAGACCCCCCTCTAAGGGAGCACCAGGGAGGCTGAGGCCCAGGGTCCCCTGCAGTCGGGGGGCCAGATTCCCGGGTCTCAGGGCATAGTGGCCTCAGGCGAACCCTGGAACCCGCAGGCCGGCTCGCCCGCGCTCGCCCCGCTTCGGGTCCCCCCCCCCCCCGGGACGGCGCCCGAGAGCCCGACCGTAGCCGGTCTCCATGGCAACCGGACAAGCCTGGCCAGAACTGCCCAAGAGATGCCCCGTGAGGGCCCCGTTGCCCCAGCACGCGCCCCGCGGCCTCCCCGCCGGCCGGCTCCGCGCCCCGGCGCCCCGGCCGCCGCTCCTCGCGCACCCCGCACTCACCTCCGACACAGTCCGCCGCCGCTGCGTTCCCGCGCGGCTCCCACACCAACGTCCGCCCGCGCCCTCGACCCTCGCCCCGCGCCCGCGCGTGGCGCGGCGCCTCCTGCCGGCCGCCCAACGGACGGGGCGGGACCTTAGGGGGCGGGGGGCGAGGCCTTTCGGGGGCGGGGCCCGACGGGCGGGGCGGTGTCTCCTCCCGCCGGCCACCCAATGGACGAGGACGAGACCCTGAGAAGGCGGGGCCTCAAGGGAGGGGCGGAGCTGGTGCGATGTTGGGCGGGGCGCCAGCGCCACCTGCCGGCCAATTAATGGGTGTGGGCGTGGCCTCCAAGATCGGGGCCGGGTCTCCAGATGAGGGCGGGCTGGCTGCGGAGAGACAGGACTAGGCGGCCCACCCGTCTCCAGCTCAAGAGGTGGGGCCTCTGCAGGAGAGGCGGGGCCACACTAAGCTCAGGGGCCACTTGCTCGTCTAAGGCTCTGGGAGACCGGTGGGCTGTTGTGTACCCACTTTGTAGTCCCCCAATGGACAGGACCAAGAAAAGGAGGGACAAGGGTAAAGCAAACGCTTACCAAAAGGGGGGCGGCCCCAATATACGAACATCTAAGACACTGAGAGGAGACAAGGGTGGCAGGTTCCATCTCCCCTACAATCTGTCCCCTACCCCGCAGCCAGAGTTTTAAATGACAAATCAAAACATGGCGCCTCTGCTTAAAACGATGCAAAACGGGGCCAGGTCAGCTCCAGGGCTCTGGCCCAACAACCTCGTTGGATAAGGTGTTTTAAAAGAAGCTCGTGTCCTTAAAACTCGCTTTGGCAACAGCCCTCCGGCTGGGGGAAAGACTTTCACTTGGTGAAAGACTGTCCCTTTGTCACATGAGGGATTCATGTGGTCTTGGGTGTAGATGCATAATTCTACCCCTGGGAGTGAAGCTTTTTGCTGCCATCTTGCTATTGGGGTATAAATTCTTATAGTAACGATTGCATATATGCAGGAGAAAGTGGAGGCTGGGAACGCATATTTATAGACCACCTACCTACGGTGTGCCAGACCCTATGTGAGGGGCTCTAGCGAGGCCCAAGAGCTCAC